ATATATATATATATTATGTTTGTTATTATTGACGAGGATACTATTTAAAACATATATCACAATATTTTAGACATCATCATTCCCAGTGCAATTCAGGACTGCTCCATTTAAGTTTAAATTATTGAAGTTATTATCTACATCCAAGTACTTTTTTTGCTCATTAAAGTGAATTTCTCGTATGAGTAATCTCTAAACCTTGATCTTGTTAATAATATTAATTCAACTATATAAAAAATTATGTTTGTCTTAGATTTGGACATAATAAAGTAGCTCCCCTTCTTATCATCACTGACCATTCTCGATAATAACTAATGAATATGGGCCTCAGAGAGCTACAATCTAGGACACTTAAGATTTGACTAAAGAATAATTTATCAACATTGACAATGAGGTTATTATATCGTTATCCTAAAATTACTTAATAATTTTCTTCATTACACCTCTAACTTTATATGCCACGAGCAGCCTTCTTTATAGACGTGATTATATTAGATTTCATTATACATAATAAAATAAGCATGTAAGTTAATTCTAAAAGGGATAGTAAGGCAAGAAACAACTTCAAAGCAGGTTTCAATAAAATCAAAAGTATTTTAATAATATTCACACCATCCTTAAATCACATTATATAATTCTTATTTGATCCATGATAGAACCTGTTTAAGCCATATTTGGAGCTCATTCGAATCTTGATCAAACTTTCTTTAAATCATGTTTTAACAATGTTAACATATTTTATAACCATGTTCGGCTAAGGCTCTATGTTAATGTTATAGTATTTTTCAAATCTCATTCCAACCACAGTCACACAATACTAAATCATGTTAAAATATTTCCCTCCTTTGTTCAAACCTTTTTTCAATCTTGTTCAGATTGGTTTCAAATCATGTTATAACCTTATTATACTTTAAATGAATCTTATTCAAACAATCTTCAAATCTTGTTTCGCCTTCTTTGAATATTGTTCAATCATTTTTAAAATTATCAACGATATTTAATCAAGTTTGAATAATATCTGATCAAGAGTAGAAGATGGTGTAATTATATTCATAGCAAATAATGTGACTCTAATGTCATCATGGCTTAGGGTTTAAAGTGCAAATTACATTTTAAAGCATAACTAACAAACATATTACCCTTATTAACCTTTAAAATTAGTCCACCAAAAAGTAAAAAAAAAAAATTGCTTGGAAAATTTTATAGGCTTTTTACACAACTAATAATAGCCAGAGATTGTATAAGCATTAAGAAGAGGAGTTGTATCTTTTGGTTTGAAATTTGATTTGATCACTTTGTGGAATAGTTTTTAGTCATATTTTCATATAATTAGAATATTTTAATTGTAAATAAAAATTTAGACTTTTTTTTTTTTGGGAAACCATATATGTGGCACAATATTCTTATGTATTTACATATCTCACATCTAAATTATCATATTTACACAACAAACTGTAAATCTATGCATGAAAATGAGCATACAACATTTAAAAATTATAATGGTGCTATTTTTGATATAAAATTAAGAATTTGAGCGCTCTGTATGTAAATATAAAATTTTTTTTGATATTAGTGAATGCATAAAAAAAAGTTGTGCTATTTATATAATTGCCCTCATGTTTTTTAGAAAAAACAAATTTGGCTACCTTCAATTAGGGCTGTCAAAACGGCTCGTTGTTCGCGAACAGCTCGTGTTCGGCTCGTTAAGGAATTTTTAATACTCATAATAGCTAGGGCTGTCAAAACGGCTCGTTGTTCGCGAACAGCTTGTATTCGACTCGTTAAGAAGTTCGTGTTCGGCGAAAACTCGTTAATTTCGTTCGATAAGTTAACGAGCCGAACATGAACTAAGATGTGTTCTTTGTTGTTCGGCTCGTTTTGGCTCGAAATACTACTCATCAAGTTTATATATATATATATATATATATTAAGTAGTATTTAAAAAAAATCTAATTGACTAGAAGACTACAAATATTTATAATCAATTAAAATATTGATTAAGAAAATATAATAAAAATTATTAAATTAGTTTAATATAAATAATAATATTTAAATATTACTTAAATCTTTATTGTCTTATGTCTTATGGCTACATGATTAAAGTTGCTAAAAAGACTCTTTATTCTTAAACAACTCGTATTGGACTCGTTAAGCAAAGGAGCCCAAACACTAATAAAATTTTTGAGCTAGAAATATAAACAGTCGAACACTAACTCTAATAAAATTTCCTATTTTTAGCTAAAAATTGTGAGCCTCATTTTCAAGTCATTTTGTTGTCTCTTGAAACTTTTTTTGCTCTTTCATCACTGACCGAGCGTCCTATCAATACCCCTCGCGCGCGAGAGATTCAGAGACCATCATGGCTTCCAGTCTTGATCGAGAAACCGCGCTGGAGCTGGTAAAGAAGGGGGGAACTCTTCTCCTACTCGATGTTCCCCAGTTCACGCTTTTGGGAATTGACACCCAGGTATTCATACCATGCTCTTCGGTTCCTCTTTTTTATTTATCTAGATTCTCTTTTCTGCTTCTTGTTGTCGACTAGAACGTAACATATCGGATATCTGTAAATTATTCTCACGAAGAAGAAGATTTCCTTGTTCTGAGCTAATTTTGCATGCACCACCCTTTCATCGTTCCAGAAGTTAGTTGTACGAACTTTTATTTGAGGTTTAATGCCATTGTTTGAACTATGGAGCCTTCCGTGAGCTTAAGTTTCCACTGTCATCAGGTTCTCTTTTTTTTTTTTAAAGTACTAGAAAATATATCGTTTTTTTGTTCTGGTGTTCTACTTGCAATTGATGAACTTGAAATTGCTCCTTTTTAGTCTCCGGGGAGCTCAGCTCAGGCTGTGATTAAAATCATTGAAACCATTATTTTCGTATGTAAGAAACTATTTTTTCTTGGGAAGAAACTTCGCTCAGGATATCACGGCCAAACTTTTGCTCAGGTTGTAATATACTTCTCGACGTTTTTTTAAGATATGCTTTAATGATTTGTAAAGACATATTTACATGATAATTCATTTGACTGTGTTTGTTGTTGTTTTGCAGAACTTAATGGCGTGTCCTGTAAAATTTTGAAAACTATCTTCTAAAATATTAAGAATTGTATTGAATCTACAATGGATATTCTCATGAGTATCTTGATTAGTCTTGGAATACATCTAGTAATGTACCCTTAAGGACGTTTTTATCAAGTAATCAAGCCATAAACATTTTACTGATAAGCTCCATCTCCTTAGCATGTCCCTCGGGGGAAACTTATTTGTCTTTCATTAATTTTGTTTGAAAAACATGCTCTAATTATGCTTTCTCTTAAACCATTTTTTGGTTATTCTTGTAGTTTCTAGTTTGCATATTTGTTTTTGACTGAAATAATTGTTTTGGAATATAAGAATGGTTTGATACATTTGAAATATAGTTTTGGAGTTCAATGATTGAAGTGATCTGTTGTTGTGAAGGAACGCATAGAATTGATTGTGTCAAGGCAAGCATATCGCATAAGGGCTGAGATGAGTAAATTGTATAAACATTTTTATTAATGGAGATAGAAAGAGTAGTTTCCTTGTCTATTGGGTATTTTACGTAGCAGGCTGTTCACTTGAAAGGATTTGGGTGCTTTTTGCCTTTTCAGGTAGTTTCTTTATTTCTTTAGTGAAACAGGGCAACAAAAATCAAATTAGTTTTCTATATTTTTCTAACTTACAAAATTTTTAGACAAAATTTTTAGTGCTTAATTTGCTTTGTGCATGAGTCCTGTTTTGATCTTATCATTGATCTCAAGTCTTTTTTCCTTCCTTTTTTTGCGACCAATTTCGAAGCTTAAACCTGAAAATTTTCTTTTATTCTAGGTGTATTCCGTTGGTCCAAACTTCAAGGGCATAAAGATGCTCCCTCCAGGGCCACATTTTATCTACTATTGTTCCTCTAGCAAGTGAGCAACTCACCTCTCTCTCTTCTAGCTTTTTCCAGTCGGATGTAATTTTCTTTGTTTAAAGTTTTTTCAATGATGCTCATAATTTTTGAAGCTATGGTATAATCTAATGACTTGAGATCATGTTAGTAAAAAAATTATAGACCCGATCCTCTACATGAAGGATAGATTTGGTAACATTTGCAATACAACCAAATTTCAATTTACTTAAATTATATACAAACTACAAACTCAACCCTTTTCAAGTAAAGTGCACAGGGCTGAAAAAGTTCATTGAACAAACTTTGACAATTCAAAATATCTTAATGATGCGTGTGCGGCCTGTCCTAATAAAAATTTCAATTAAATGAGACACTATCATTAAAATGTCTAAAATCTCAAGAAAAAAAATTCTATCGAAGTGGCTACTTTTACCAAATTGTCCTATATCTTAGTACAAATTATTTTTAGTTTAAATCATAGTAAAATATTAAAAAATGGGAATATTATAAATTTAAGAAAAATATTTATGTGAATCTACTACCTAAGGCCAAGAGTATAAGTTCCTCCACCCTTTATATTAATTTGTAGTGGGTGATAATAATTTCATATCAAACATACTTCTATGCTCTCTCTCCGAAAAGTTCACGCCAATCAAGATATGACAAGTGTCATTTGATTGTGTTGTTTTGCCACCAATAAAATGACGTGGTTCAGGCGGCGACTTTTAGACTGGATTGTTTTGCCTCAAAATGACTACATTATATTACAGTTATGGCCAAAGCCCGAATGTTCACTAATGGCTCATCTACATTGAGTTTTGAACCATAGGGCATAACATATTCTATTAGATAAGATCAACTCAAAATTTTGTGGCATTTACATACATATCACACAATTCCTATGTAGTTGTATCTTTAACACTTAAATTTTTTATTTTATATTTATACCACAAAAAATTTTCATGTCACATAAAAAATACCACTATTTTAACTTTCAAAAGGTGAAATACATCTTTTCATACATAGATTTGGTTACATATGTAAAAATTGAAGTATAATTATTAGATATGTAAATACACAGGAATTGAGTGGTACGCATATAAATCTTCCTAAAATTTTCTTATTATTTAAAAAAATACCTTAAGTTTATAAGTTCATTTTGGGAGACCAGCTATGATTGCTGATAAGAAACATTCATCCATCTTCTCTAAGTAGAAAGGTACATGACAACTCGAGAAATTGAACCATAAATGTTGATTGGGATCACAATCATTTCCCATACCTTTCAGTCTAAGCTACAGGCAATCAGTTTTCTTAATCTAATACTTAGTTTCTGCTATTAAATTCTAATCACTTTGTGTCCAATGACTAGTGTTCATTGAAACTTTTCTCTTATTTCAGGAGGGATAAGCAAGTATACAGCTTTGCCCATGAACTGTATCATAAGGCCTTCACACAATGAGAGTGGAATGTTGGAGTAATATCTTATCTAAAAAATAAAATTCTTTCTCAAAGTTGACTCCGAAAAAAAATAAAAACTTTCGTAGGAGAGTTGGGTGTGAATTCTCGTTGCGCGTATGGGCATCTAAGATGCATCCATAAACCATCTTTTTTATAATTTTAAACCAAATTTCAACCAAGAGGTGATATTGATGTAACTTGAGTTAGTCATACCCTGACCGCCCATCCTTCCATGGAGATAGGTGTTCAATAAACTTGTTTAAGGTTTCTCTTAGTGCCCGCATTTTGTAGAAACTATAGTAAATGGAGGACATTTTCCTCAAAACAGCTTTGGGGATATGGAAAGCATGACGCCATAACACGAACCTGAGAGGAGAACGGTTTTCACCAATTGATGTCTACCAGTGAGGGAGTGGACTACCTTTCCATAGATATAATTGACTATTGATTATGTCAGTAAGTGGCTGGAAAAATGATAATTAAGGCCAACAACGGAGAGGGACAAAATGGGGTAACCCAATAATTTGGCTTAAAACTTTAGGCTTTAATAATCTTTTTTAAAAGAAAATTTTGATCTTGTTATGGTCGGTGGAAAGACCAATGTTTTTCTGAAAGGTCTTCAAAATGGTCGAGGTTGGAAGTTATTAATGGGTGTGATGTGGGTGTGGAATGCTTTCTGTGATGTAGGATCCCAGAACTTGGAAGCACGAGACATGAGATCACGTGAAACCGTAATTCGGGCTATAGTGTCACCGACGAAGTCACCCGAAACTTATTATTTTCACAAAACCTCTTTTCTTTTTGATTTATTCCCTATTTCCTTTTTTCTAATTAGGGTTTCTTTTTAGCATGGACTGTTTATAACTTGTATTTGCTATTTCTGGGTTTTTTTTGTTCATTTGAGTTGTGTGAGGGCTTTTGCTCCCTTTGTTGTTCCCGAATGAGAACGAGTATGTATCCACAATGTTAAGTGCTGAAAACTATATCACTTCTTTGTTGGTGGTGACATCCCAAGTATCCTTCCCTCGTCATTCTTTTAGGTGGTAATTTCTGTATCTCGGTCGGTTGCGAGAGTAAGAAACTATTGTATCTTTATTGATTAGTGCATCTTGTTTTTGTTTTTACTGTATTTTTTTTTTCTGTTTAGGATTGCTTTCTTTGTTGCTTTTGCCAAATCTTCTTTAACCCCCCTCTTTTCTGGTATCATTTGGTATTAAAGATAGTCTAAACGTAGTCTCCCCCCTCCCAAAAAAAAAAAAAAATCTCCCCTCCCCCCAAAAAAAAAAAAAATCTCCCCCTTGTTGATTTTCCAAATCAACCCCCAAAATTTTTTTTTTCTATTTGTTCACTCCAGACCGCTCCCATACACCCTCCTCCACCTCTCAAACCTAAATCCTACCATACACATTGGAGACAAGTGTTCGAAATTGAAGGCCATCCAATCCCAGGTAGTTACAACAGCTCTGCCATCTTCAAGATGACTGACTTGACATCATATAATGAGGAGTCAAAAGCTTCGATAGATGAGGTCCAATCTCCACCAATCTCGGTAGATTGACATGTAGAATCCTTCTCGTGATACAGGATCGCGATACTTGGGAGCATGTGAAACGGGATCGCGAAACTCAGGAGTGCGCGATGTGGGATTGCTTGAAACTGCGATTCGAGTGACAATTTTGCCGACTAAGTCACTTGAAATTTCCTATTTTTAGCATGTTTATTTCTTTTTTATTTATTTATTCCCTATTTTCTTATTTCTAATTAGGGTTTCTTCCTCGCATGGACTATTTATATTTTGTATTTTCTGTTTCAATGGGTTTTTTTGTTCGTTTGAGTTGTGTGAAGGCTTTTGCTCCCTCTGTGTTTCCCAGATTCGAACGATTTGATGTCCACGTCGTTGCCTTCCATATTGGTGGTGACATCCCGGGTTACCTTCCTTCGTCAATCTTGTTGGTGATGATTTATGTATCCCTGTTTTTGGCGAGAGTAGGAAACTCTTATATCTTGTATCTTTATTTGATTATTGCATCTCATTTTTGTTCTGGCCATTTTTTCGTTTCCTGTTTCAGATTATTTTTTTTGGCCAGGCGGTATCGGGTTGTTTTGTCAAATATGAGCATGCTATTAGCAACTAAGAGATAATAGACTTGGGATGGGGTTGATGAAAGCATGGGGTTATTTTTCACCGAACAATCATAGAGCTGTTTAACTATTAAAATGGTGTAGATTTGTGGAATTGTGGGCATGCGTCTAACATGCCACTTATCTTTCTAGCTAATTTTGAATTTGTGCTATTGGTTTGCTGTTTGTGCTTAAAAGTTCTGGTAACTTCTCGCCAGTGATATCTAAAAGCTAGTTTGGCCTGATTAAGGCTTAAATTGGAAGCAATTAATATGGCTTGGCACGTGTCTTAGGGTATTTTCACTTTTAATATTTTATTTTATGGCTCTTTAAATATCGAGGCTTATTCATTTTTTATGCTTGCATGCTTGTCATTACTTCGTGAACAAAATTTATGTAAACTTATGCTGTTCAGATAATTATTTTTTTTTGTTTTGTTTTGCTCACATTGATATACACAGGGAAGGACATGAGTTCTCGCCAACTATAGGCTTCTTTCTTACCATACACTCTTTTGAGGTACTAATAGAATCTATTTTTCTCTTTACTTTTTTTTTGAAAGATTTACATACGTACCACTCAATTCCTATGTATTTACATTAACGTATAAACTTCAATTTTTACATATATGCTACCTTACCTATGTGTGAAAGTTTTAAAAAAAAGGAGAGGTGTATTACACTTTCTAAGTGTTAAAATGGTGGTATTTTTGATGTGATATGAAAGATTTGGGTGTTATAAATGTAAAAATAAAGTTTAGGTGGCTGAAAAGTATTCGATTTGCAAGCTTTCCAGTCAATCACTCAGATGTGTATTCCATTCGGGACATTATGCGCATTCTTCCTCTATTGAGTTTCATTTTGAATGGCTATAAGACTGCAGTAAACTTTCAATGACTTGCATTTTTTTTCTGTTCAGGATCTTAATGAACATTTGCAGTTAAAAGACCAGTTAGAATTTTTTTTTTCAATAGAATCTTTGATAAGAGTGTTTTGCAGTACAATGTGGTTAGCAGCACTTACTAAATCAAATAAAGAAGATTCTACTCGGAATTTATTTGTAATTTCATTAAATGAAGGGCACACGATGGGGCTTTTTATGGTGTTATATTTCTTACTTATGTGAATTAGTTAACATTATGGATTAAATATTCTTTTTAAAGGATATTCAAAGTGCGGTTCTTGACATATGCGTTTTGTAGATGAATTATCTAGACATCTAATGAAATAATTGAAGAGTTAGAATAATGAAGAAAATGATTTAGTAGAATGAAGATTGAACTACTGAGAATATCATATATGATTTTAGCGGGTATGATAATAATAACTATTGTTCAGTATTACTAGACGATTAAATTATACGTAATTTGATAGATTTAAGTATATTGAATTTGTTCTACAGAATAATGACGATAATAGATATAAGGATGGGGTTAATTGAGTTAAGATTGAGCAGTCAAAAAAGTAGTATGTGTGATTATTTTGTGATAAGTGAATATCATGGTGATCTAAAGTTAATTTTTTAAAATATGCTGCTTCGATTCGAGCATTGAGTAGTTAAAAAAGTTATTTATAGGTAAGTTGAGCATGATATAATTGAGTCTCAAGATGTGTATGGTGTAAGATAGGATTGTGTTATGACGACACATAAGGACCATTTAGTCTTTATTAGCCTATGGGAGATTTAGTTATTTATGATTATTTAGTATAAATAGGACTAATATGTTTAGGATTAGGGTTATGCATGCAATTGAGTCTTGAGTCTTGGGGTTAGGCTTTGGGAGATATTTCGTACCTCTTGAATTGTAGGAATCAGGAGAGATCACCTGCCTCTGAAATTGTAGGTGCTTACTTTATGTATTTGCATTCAATTGTTTGGTGTTTATGAAATAAAATATATGTTGCCCTAATTCATGTGTGGAAAATCGATTCAATTTTTATTAAATTGGTATCATAGCATTCTATTCAAGGAAACAACAAAGAAGGACCAGACATGCTTTATTTTAGATATGAGAGCCAAAATTTTTATGAAGAAGCAATTGGAGGAAGGATTGCTGAATATAGGGAAAACAATCACGATTTCATGAGCAATAGACAAGATCAACTTAGCTATTCTCCTTTGAGCGCTAATCGTGTATGGAGGGGACGAAGCTACCTTTTTCCTTGGTCGAAACAACGATGGGACTGTGGTGTACAGTGATATCAAATCGCGGCATAGTTGGGAATTCGATGGGATCACTGTTTTTTCCCTTTTCTTTGCGACTCATAAATGCTACAAGAGCTGGGAAGCTAGCGACAATGGTTTGACTTGTGAGTCTTACAAAATACTGCAGCGGGATGCTTCAATGAAGCGAGATCGGATTGTGGCATACATCTGCACTCCTTAACCTTGCTATGTGGCAATTTTTGCGGGGAAGCTAGCGATGATGAGTTCACGGGGTATAGATGCATTCTTCCATGAATTAATAGCACCATACAATATGAGGGAGCATATGGCTTGGTGATAGAACCAATATTGTAACAATTTGAGCTAGCAGGAAGCCAACATTATAGATCACAACATCCAAAAGTTTCACTTTCATGATTGAACATTTCTTTGAGAGCAACAATAAACAAACTAACAAATGTTCTGGAGAAGAAAGTAGAGTAAGATGTGAGCCAATTCAGATCTGAAATAGAGAAGTGTTTCGTGTCCATGGAGGGGAGATTCAAGAGGAGATTCACGACACTGGAAAAAATGATGAAGAAGATCATAAGTTTCACACAAAACCACCTTCAGCCACCGGGGGATTGAGCGGTGGTGTTAGATACGAATGTCAGTAGCATCAACCAAAAGGATTCATCGACATCAGGACTATGTCGCTAGATCGGGAGTTGCATTATCAAACAAGGAATCGAGAACATATTTGTGCGTCAACATCTAGAGGGAATTGCATGGCATCACGAGGCTTGGGACGAGCGACAACAGGCAGATTAGAACGGCATGTAATTCAGGGGTGGAGAAGATCGCTTAAAAGTATCAGCCTGGGATTGAGAACTGTGGTGGTTGGGACTTCTGCAGAGGGATGCATCCAACTGCACCTGTGCTTTTTGATGCGGAAGCTTTCCAGACGAAAGATGATTTAGAAGTAATGATGGGAACGAGATGTGGAGAAGAGGGAGGGAGCTTGTAAGGGATTGATTTGAACACTATAGAGTATTCAGGATGAAGACAAGATGGTAATGCTTCGCTGTAACCCCAATTGGTGCAAGACGTTGGTGACGCTGAAGACTATGATGAGGGTGATCCAGAAGGCAGTGCTGAGATTATTAATCAAGTTGCATATCATGGAAGAAACACATGATACGTAGTTGACAAAGATTCTGGAGGATCGATAAGCTATAGGATGAGTTGTATGGGGATTCAGTATTCTCTAGGATTGCTTGAAGTCAGTGTGCCATCATATTCGAATACGACTGAAGGATGTGCACAAGATGACGTTTCGAGACAATAATGGTCACTACGAGTTTATGATTAAATGAAAATGATTATCAGATGATGATGCCACGTCGGAGCCATACGACCGGATCCAATAACCGTTTCTTCCACTTTGAGAACAAGTTGTCTTTTTGGGAGGAGAGTAATGTTATGACATTGCCTATGAGCCACTTAGTCTTTATTAGCTTAAGGGAAATTTAGTCACTCTTCATTTATGATTGTTTAGTATGAATAGGGCTAATATGTTTAGGTTTAGGGTTATGCATGAGATTAGGTCTTGAGTCTTAGGGTTAGGGTTTGAGAGAGATTTAACACCTCTCAAATTGCAGGAATGGGAGAGATTATCTATGTCATGAATCGTAGGCACTTACCTTATGTATTTGTGTTGAATTGTTTGGTATTCGTGAAATAAAATATTTTTTGCCCTAATTTCTTAGTGGAAAATTCATTCGGTTCCTACCAGATTGATTGAGGAATAATTATATTATTTGGATTGTGGAAGTAGCATCTTTTGAAGGTAAGTTAGCAGAAAATATGATTAAAATGTTTTGGATGTTCTTAATGATGGATCAAAATGCATCCATAAAATGCGTAGATAAAATTATTGTTAGAAGATTAAGAAAGAAGCAGGGTGGATTAGAAGTAATATGTAGAAAGACTGTTGAAAAAAATATTTGAACATCTTAAGATTAATACCTCTTGCAACACTACAAGAAGGAATAAGGAAAGATGATTCATAACAGTTGATCCATTGGATTAAAGTTCAATTATCTCTAAATTTAATTGAAATTGAATAGTTTATCGAATGAAAGAACTAGAATTACCATTATAGACGAATCAAGATGTATTATTGATAGGTTACACGTAGTAACTGCTTCTTCAACACCCATACCATCGTGGCTATGATATTCCCTACCATCATGGCAGAGATGTTGCAATGCTAGACATTTTTTTGTCTATTTTAAAATAAAAATGAAAATATATTAAATAGAAGACTCAAATAATTTTATAGAAATAGAAAGTGAATCCAAGCGGCTTGGATTATTTTCTTAACCAAACAAATTTCTTTGTCCAAAACATTGCAGAATATCCAATCTCCCATCTAAGTAGGAGCTTTTATATTTTCTTACATCAATATTATTGTTTACTATAAAACAACGTTGATTGACTAAAAATATAATATAAAAATTAAATTATTTGGAATCAATTCAATAAATCAGTAGAAACAAAAATGTGCACAGGTTAAAGCCTTCTGATTCAGTTCAACTAGGAAAATTCCTGTGAAGCTCAATCTAAGGAGCACTATTAGCTACTTTTTTTTTCAGATTTCACGAAAAACGACATCGTAATATTTTAAAGAAAAATGAGGAGCAGATTTCTTATAAACATAGATTTTCAGCTTAGGTCCTCAAACTTCCAACCATGTTTTGAGACCTTCAGTTTGGATTGCTTATTAATGACCACTTAAAACATGATTCTAATGACTTTATTATTATTATTATTTTTTCATTTTATTTTAGTTGTTCGTCATTTGAAGAATTTTCTCTAACAGCATTTACAGTGGACTAATAACTCATTCTCTTCATGTTATGATTTTGTAGATAATTGTTCGTAAATGGTGTCAGAGAGAGGAACAACTGATCAAAGTTTCAGAAGAAGAGGTTATTATCTAACCCATATATTACTCTACTATGGTATAGCAAAGTGTAAGATAAGTGGACTATGACTCCTACTAAGGATTTTGACGAACAAAGTTTAAGAAGAAATGAATGTGACTAGTTTTAATTGTAGGATTTTTATCAGTGTTGTGAGATAGTCGTTTACATCTTTTAACCTTTTGGCCTATATAAATCGCAGATATTAATTATTGAAATTCACTATAAGGGTTTGTGTGTGTGCTTATTGTATTTTTAGTGAGTGTGCAAGAGAGGGAGAAATGGAGAAGAGAGAAAAAGGGACAGGTGGAGGAGCGAGGAGGGAGAGAGAGAGATTTTTGTTTTATTGGCAGTGAAAAGCCATTTTTTCTATTGAGTTTATTTTGTCATAGAGATTCTGACACATTGTCATTACTATTAATTTTAAAGTGCCATACAAGAAATAGCTATGTAATGACAGTTTAGAAATTTTAGTAATTATTTTAGAGAGATAGTAATGTAGAGTCGCAATGAAAGACTTTTGGAAGCCTTGAAGAAGTTTAGTTTGTTGGAGGGAGGTAGAGGAGACATGGAAAAAAATGTTGGCATACAATCTAGCGATGATAAAAGGCAAGTAAATCTTCAAAATTTCATTTGGACCATTAATTTATAATAAAAAATTCCAATTTATAAGATTGATTAATTAAATTTAGCTTAAATTGACACATGACAATATTTCCCATGTTAATTAAAATAATCATAAATGAAGGATAGCTACACTAATTTCAACACAATTAATTTTGCTCAAGAGAGTATGCATGCTATTATACTTATGGTGGTCAGATCTACAGTGCTTTATGGCGCTGAATGTTGGCCTTTAAAAGAGAAGTATAATACTAAGTTAAGTGTTGCCGAGATGAGAATGATTAGGTGGATGAGTGGCTTTACACTTTTAGATAAAATGCTAAATGAATATATCCGTGATAGGGTTAGTGTAGCTCCAGTGACAGACAAAATTAGAGAAAGTCATCTTAGATGGTTTGGTCGCATTAAACGTCGACCATATGATGATCCGATTAGGAGAGTGGATGTTTTAGATTCGACTTATGTTAAGAAAGACATAGGTAGACCTCTGAAGACTTGGGCTTATTGTATAAAAAATGATCTTAATTTATTAGAACTAAATGAAAATATGACACTAAATAGGATGCAATGAAGAAAAAAGATTCATGTAGCCAACCCTACGTAGTGAGATTAAGGCTTTGTTGTTGTTGTTGTAGAGTTTGCATGCTATTAAAGAATTGGATGTAATAGATTGTAGCATTGAAGCAGTGGAGTCACCTATCATGCCTCAAGACGTCCCCCTCCATCTATCGACTCGAGATGTAATTCAGGCGAGTGTGATTCAATTGATTGAATATACCTCCAATATCCATTATGCCATCACCTGAATTCAACCAAAACAACATTACTCATAATTACACAAATTCTGTAAAATTGAATCATTCAAATTAAGTGGAAGCAGTCCAAAATATTTCTATATTATAACAGTTGTACACCATAATATGATCACAATATTGTATTGATTCTATTCAACCTTAATTTTATTTTATTCTCTAAAAATAATTATAACAATATACTGAGCTATGAAACTCAGCAAGATAACTAAATATAATATAGAATTCAAATAATCTGTGAATTAAAATAAATAATACGAATTAATCTCATTTCTTATAGTCATTGTAAAAGAAATCATCTAACAATAATTTGTTTAATAATAAATAAAATATTTTCCTAATGGAATTTTGAAAGAATATTAATATTTATGATGTCATAAGTATTATTTTGACATATGTACATTTGATATATGGTTAATTTAATTTTTATATATTAATTTATGCTATATTTCAGTTATTACTTAGTATAGAAGGTAATATTTTCTCAGCTTTAGATGATATCATGTATGCGGAATTATGTTTACTGACCACCATATAAGAGCTCAGTTTTATTGCCCTACATGTATAGTTGTTGTAAATATATTAGTTTGAAAACCTTTTTTCCTTTATATGAGCTCACGTTTGTCACCTTACCTATACAAGTTTTCATATTTATTTATAAGCCTTTGTCGCCCAATTTGTACAAGTATTATAAACATGTCTTTGTTAACTTATTCTTCAAATCATGATAATTATTAAGCTTAATATGTTTTCACTATTGAACATTTAAATAATTTTTAATATGCTGAATAATAGTGTATAAAAATGTGCAATTTACAGATATCAAATGTATTCATTAAATGTGTCATATACTAATAAAATTTTTGTATAATCAAAGTACATTTGATAGTGACCTGATATTAATAAAATTTTTATGTAGTCATTTACTCATGAATAGTAGACAGCAAACATATTTTCCTAATTATGAATAAATTTTGTTGTATCATACACGAATCTATTTGATTATAAATACACATACAACAGACTAGAAAAAAATTTCTTTTATATTAAAATACGTGTATCTTCTCAACTTGACGATCTACTCATTCGAGATGAATGCCTAGAAAATTCTTTCTTTTGCAAAATATCTCAATGTCGTTTTTCCTTGTACAAGCCTAAATACCGAACAGTTCGTTTTGAAATTAATTCAATAGAAAAATATCAAAATCAAAATTTAATTTAAAAATCTAAATTTCTTCTCTTTCTCACTATTATTCCCTTATTCATCTCATTCTTTTTTTCCTCCAACTCTTCTTCTTCTCCCCTTGTTTTGACCTCTGATTTTTCCCTTCGGCCTGCACTGCCCAGGCCTCTATTTCTGCTTCCGGATGAAGACTTATGAGATGTTAAAGGGTGTAAAATGTGTTATTAAGCTCTTGTTTATCATTATGTAAGTATATAAACTACTAAATATTTACATATCTAATTTACTAATCTATCTCAGCCAATTGGAAATGTCTTCTGCGTTGCGCGCAGTCTAATGTGGAAAAATTGGATTTCCACTAGTGCTGGTAAAGTGCATGAGCAGTAAAATTAAATAAAAGTTTTATAAAAGTTTGATCAAAATCTAAACTAATTCAATAACTTTTTTGTCTTTAGAAGTTAGCATATAGTTTTATATATCAAAACAATTATTTTGAAGATTAGATGCAATGGAATTCTTTTTTTGATGATTTCCAATCAAGTTAAAAATTTAGGTATAATTTATTTGGGACATTTTTACGATTCCACCTTACCAAAATTTGGGTACATTGCCCACATTGAATAGATGAAGGGAAATCAATCCCAAGGTTAGAGGAACTAATTGTTAGGTACGAAGGGAAAAACAACACTATGGATAACACATCCTTGTAAGAAGCTAGCTATATACTTTTTGAAACAATCGAGCTTCTCCCAATAAGGAATCTTACTCTAATAATTTTGAGGCTAACTATATGAATTTTGGGTACTTATGTTCTTGAAGCACTTTAGTTCCATCGGCAGATGGGGAAGCTTCATATACTTTTATTTCATTTCTTCTTTTTCATGGTTCATAAGGATTATTGTATAAAGGTTTGAATTCTATGATGCTTTTTTCTGACGATCTACATGCATACCACTTAAATTCCTTTATATTAAATGTCTAACACCAAAACATCAATTTTGTCATTTACGCCACCTTGCCTATGCTTAAAATGACGTGTTTTACTTTTTATAAATTAAAATAGTATTATTTTTGATGTGATATAAAAGATTTGAATGATATAAATGTAAAAAGTAAAATTTAGTCATTAGATATATAAATACATAGGAATTGGGTGATATGTATGTAAATGCCCCTTTTTTTGTATGGATTTAGGTTTCGGGTTAGACTAATGTCTTATGGGGGTATTCATAATTTTATTTTTTGAGACAAACAATCAGGTTTGTATTATCGAAGTGCAAAGCACAATGTAATGCACACACTTTTATTTTTGCTTAAAAGTGCAATGTGTAAAGCTTAGAGCAAAGCGATGCTTTTATTAACGAAAATGCTAATATATTATATAAAAATATTAATGTATAAATACCTTCATTAACAATTATAAAATATAAAATATGACTTAAAAATTTATATATAAAAGAAAAGAATGTGGTGTAATACCTAATTTGAAGGGAAATGTTGATGGTAAACTTGCAAATGAAAATTTGGAATAATTTCTAATAATTTGCTACAATAATTAGAACCTTAAAAATTGTAAAAAAAAAATTACAACTTAAAATAAAATCTAAATTTTAAAGCATGAATAAACTAATAAAGTCTCGAGTTTCATAAAATAAGCTAAATTAATTTACTAGCCTTTTATTTCCTCTCGTTAAACTGTGAACCGGACAAACCGCTTTGCTTCAGCGCTTCGATGTGTGCTTTAGCGAAGTGAAGCGGTCGTCATACACTTCGCTTTGCTTTGCACTGAAGCACAATTTTAAAACCATTGGTAGTAAATTTATGTTCTCTAATAAAATTGATAAATGCAAAGTGTCAACATTAAGTGTAAAATTCATAAGGCTAGTGCTAACTGCATTTATAAGATCAAGATTTTTGCTCGAAAGGGAATAATCATGCTGCTGGTTTTCTTGTGTGATTGGGTGCTTAGCTTAGTGATAGCAGCATATTTTAGAATGTCCCCAACGGGCTTGCGAATGGGTATTATGGCCCTTGATATCTGTGGAAGGGGGATTTTATGGAGCTTTAGCTTCTCTCACTATTATGAAGTGTGGGTAGAGTTAATTTGGGTTTAGGTGGACTATGGAGGTGTATTGGGTTCTATCCTGGCTTCCGGCAGGGTTTTGAGCTCAAAATTGGGCTCCGACAATGGGAAATTGAGCTCGCTCAAAATTGAGCTCCGACAATGGGAATTTGTGAGGGAAAATGGTTGGAATGCACTGAGTGGATCTGAGGGAAGCTCTGTGTGAAGTTTAGAGAGGCCTCACTAAAGAAATCTCAGAACACCTCTCATGGCCGTGGAGGTGAGTTTTTATAAAAAAATGGTCATGGGGTGGCTCTTAGATCATAAGTTTGGGTGC